GAATCTGAGGACCTGGCCACACAGGCACGTTGTTCTTCACGGCCATAGCTGGCTGAACTGAGTAGAGACGGCTTCCTTTGGGATGGGGCAGTGCTCTGGGGTTTCCACTGTCCGCTCCCCACCCCCGCCCTGCATTCAATGGTCATTCATTGACCATACTTGCTGGGAGACTTGAGTTTGCTACCCTCTCTTTAACAGCATGAGAACAGTAGAAACTTTGCAGCTTTGGTCTCTCCTTCCCCTGCCTCCACCTCTCAACCTGCCCCTGTGTCTGTAAATAGAAGAATGCATTCTTGCACTGATACGATTCATGCCTCTAGAGTGTATATAATCAGCTTAAAAATGTTTTTTGGTTGTTGTTTTTTAGATGACAGGTGTACTTCCTCAACTCAGCAGCCATGGAAATCACCTCTTATGTCTCCTGTGTGGAGCCTAATTGACGGATGGACCACGGATTCATCCTAACAGCTGAGCCAAAGACCACACTTCCCAGGGGCTGCTCCCAGTTAATCACCGAAGGAGGCAGGGATTCCGAGGAAACGTTCCCAGGAGACACAGTGTTCCTCTGGAAGCACAGGGACTTTGGTCAGCCTTCCAGAACTTTCTTAGAATGATACTGCAGTCTACAACCACCCAATTTCCCTCCCTCTCTTCCTTCCTTCCTCCCAGCCTCTTCTGTCTCCCTTCTCACTTTCCCCAATACATCTCTTGGATATTTCATCCCACCTTGGCTATCTCAGAGGACCCCGAGTAATGTCCCTTCCCATCACAGATTTGGATAAATCAAGAGGAAGAGAGAGGGAGGGCAGGTAAACAGCATGAATAAAGGTGTAGAGGTAGGAAAGTCCAGGCTATGTTCACACCACATGGGGAAGTGAGTCTGTCCTACGAAGGCACTAAATCCCCACGCTACAGCCTATCAAAAGAAGTGCTGGGGCAGGGGAGGGGGGGATGGGGGGGGCAGCTGGGTGGCTGAGTTGGTTAAGCGCCCAACTTTGGCTCAGGTCATGATCTCACGGTTTGTGGGTTCGAGCCCTGCATCACACTCTGTGCTGAAAGCTTGGAGCCTAGAGCCTGCTTCCGATTCTGTGTCCCCCCACCTCTGTCTCTGCCCCTCCCCAGCTTGCACTCTGTCTCTGTCTCTCAAAAATGAATACACATTAAAAAAATTAACAACAGCAAAAAGGAAGTGCTGTGTGACTTTGGGTAACTTACTGAGCCTCTCTGGGCCTTGGTTTCACCATTTGCAAGCTGGGAATACTAACAGTGCCCATTTTACAGGGTCCAGTGGGGATTAGATGGGTTAATATGAAAAAGTATTTTGAATGGGCTAAATCACCAACTAAAGTTAGAGTCATCATTACAAAAACATTTAAAACTGGCCTTCTCTGATGGGGCTGGGTTTTAGCTTTGAAGAAGGCAATACGCATATTTTCCTTTCCAAACACAATTTGTTTATAGTCTTTCGACGCAGACACAAACCAGACTTGGTCCCTGGAAGAGGAAAAGCAGGGTTGTGGGGCGGCAAGGACTGTCCTTTCCAGGCAGAGCTCCCCATTTTCTGGAGTTGGGTCTTGACAAGAGAGCAGAGGTTGGGCGGGGGGCACCTGGGTGGCTCAGTCGGTCGAGCATCTGACTCTTGGTTTCAGCTCAGGTCATGATCAAGCGATTTTGTGGGTTCGAGTCCCGCATTGAACTGCAAGTGAGAAGCCTGCTTGGGATTCCCTGTCTCCCCCTCTCTCTGCCCCTCCCCCACTCGTGCTGTCTCTGTCTCACCCAAAATAAATTAAAAAAAAAAAGAGAGAGAGAGAGAGCAGAAGTTGGGCAGATCAGAGAGTTGCCCAGATGTCTTATCTTTACTGGACAGTGGACATCTGGACACAAGACTCGTACGGGAGAATGTGTGGATGCTTGTCCCTGGGTGACAGCCTCTGGGAGAGGCGGAAAGAAGAAGGAATTTCCTGACACTCCATCTGACATGTAGGCTTTACTTTCCTATGAAGATTTGGATGCCAGGGTTGGAACCCTGCTGGTCAACTCCCTGCCCTCACCACTACCAGCAACATGCCCATTATACAGATAAAGTAGTTGAGGCTCAGCAAGATGAACCTTGCTTAGGGTCATGTGGCAAGTGAGTGGCCATGCTGGGATCTGAACTTAGCTCTCAAGCCTTGTATGTTCCAACCCTTCCACCATGGCGTGCAGGGGTGGCTTTTGGCGAAGTTTTCCCTCACCTTCAGTCTTGAGGCCATATGAGCCCAGAGCAGGGCCCTGTCAGGCCTCATGAGTCAGGGGACTTTGGAGTTTCCTGCCTGTTCTGCGAGACTTCAGAATTAGGATACTCTATGGATGTGATACCCTATTAATAAAGCTAGAAAGCCTGAGGTGTAATAAAAGTGAGAATAATAACGTGAAGTGCCACTTCTGAAAGCTGACTGTGGGCGAGTACCATGACAGGTGCTTTGGGTGCATTCTTACCTCGCAGGCTCCTCACCACGGCCCTGACTGGAAGGTCCTCTTAACTCGAAATGTTTCTGGCTGCACGTAAGAGAAAAGCTGATTCGTGGTGTCTTCAGCAACACAGACATTTGATCATTTCTTAAACAAGAAGTCTGGAGATCGGTGGTTCCTGGGATGGTTCCCAGCAAAGAGGGAGAGCCCTGGCCGGCTCAGACCAGTGGGAAGGAGATGGGGCCACCCCCCCAAACATGTGGGTGATTCCTAAATAAAATCAGGTTCCATTAGCAAGGAAGAGGCCGGGGCGCCAACACATTCTTCTCTCATTGGTGTGTTCCTTCCCTGGAGGGGAGGGGGAAGAGAGACAGCCATTTGGGAGTGACTCAGATTGGGATGCCACTGGTTTGTGCTCCAGCCCGGGATGTGGGGTGGAAAAGCTAACATTTATTGAGCACCTACTGTGTTCCAGGCCCCCTGCTGGGTGACTTCACGCTCCCATCAATTCATTCAGTCCTCACAACAGGCCTGTGAGGAAGGAACTATTCTTCCCATTTTTCAGATGAGAAAACTGAGGCCGAGCCCTGATCACACACACGGTGGGAGGCTAAACGGGAATAAGTCCTGGCAGCAGTTGACTTTCACTACTGCTCACTGTGTATCCAGCACTCTGAGAGGCGTGTCCCCTGGATTAGGTCGTTTCTTCAACTCCACTCCACTGATGAGGCACCGTGTCTCAGGGAGGTGGAGCAGACTGCCCAGTTACACAGTTTAGCATTGGCCAGGCTGGGCTGTGAACCCCTCTGACAGAAGGCCGCCCCACAGTGCTCCCCCAAATTTGGAGAAAACCCTCCCGGCCCGTTCGGTGGCCTTTTTGGGATCGTTGGCTTTGTAGGCGGAGAAGCTGGATAAATAAACAAGAGGTTCAGGAAGTGTTTTTTGCCTCTTGAAATTCTGAATCCAGAGGACACAGAAGGTCATCCAGCTGCCATGACAGCCAACATTAAACAGGCAAATAAGTGAATCTCTAACATGATAGCAGGAATGTTAAGTACCATCAAGGAAAACAAACAAACAAACTAAAGCAAGAGAGAATGATGGTGTGAACACTTTAGACCAGGTGGGGAGGGAAGGTTTCTTTGAGGAGGTGACAGTTGAGCAGAGACAGAGGGATGGGGAAGGTGATAGAAGGCACCAGCTACGCAAGTGTCTGAGAGAAGATTGTTTTAGACAGAGGGACTATCAAGTGCAAAGGCCCTGAGGTGGAAGTGAGTTTGGCACACTTGGGGAAGGACAAGAGATGGGTGTGGCTGGAGCAGAGTCGGGGGGGCATGAGGTCCGGGAGGTAAAGGTGGCAGGGGGCAGAAAATGCTGGTGCTTATAGGACCTTATAAGGACTTGGGGCTGTGTTCTGAGTGACTAGTGGGGTGGAGCCATGGAGGATTCTGAGCAAAATCCAGTTACAGGTTCTGACTTGGGTTCTAAGAGGATCCTTCTGTAGAGGGAGGGAGGGGGCTGAAGACAGGAGATGGGGGAGGAGTGACCCTTCTCCAGAGGCTACTGGGAGGAAGAGAGGAAACCTGCCTGGAGGCACCCAGCAGTGAGAAACAGACACAGGATTAGAATCAGCCCTCCACCGGGACTCACAGCATTCACCTGTGCCAAGCAAGGAGTACTTGGCAACCTTTTAGACAAGCTCTGGTCAATTTCTCACGCCTTTGACCGGTCTGTTCCCCGACAAGAAACTGGCCTCGGAGAGGGGTTAGGTTTCCTGCACAAGGTTTCCCAGGGTGCAAATCGGTGGGGGAGTGAGTGGTGAGCCTGGGTTGCCCTTAGCACCCAGGGGTGGTCTCTTGCAGACCTAGAGGCTGGCACCCTCAGCACTTCCCTCCCTGCCCTTCCCTCCCCCACATAATCCCTCCCTCGCAGCCCCCCCCCCCCCACCTCGCCCGCCCGCAGCTCCCCTCCGCTCCACCCCACATTTCCCAGCCCCTTTCCGAGCCCGAGGTGGGGGCCGGCGCCGCCGAGCTGGGGGAGGGGCTCCCCGAGAGCGCCCCGCCCCCCAGGACCCCGGCGCCGTCGTCGGGCCCGCCCCCGTCCCGCCGCGGCCCGAGAGGCACCTGGGCGCCCGGAGCCCGCCCGC